ACACAGATGGTCACTCAGCGGTCACTCAGTGGTCACTCGGACACACGGACAGATGGACACACGGACACTGGGACAGACAGACGGATGGTCACACAGACAGACACTCAGACACACAGACACACGGACAGATGGACACTCGAATGGTCACTCAGTGGTCACTCAGACAAACAGACACACGGACACTCGGACACACGGACACGGACACACGGACAGACACTCAGACAGACACACGGACAGACGGACACTCAATGGTCACTCAATGGTCACCCAGTGGTCACTCAGACAGACAGACGGACACACAGATGGACACACAGATACTCGGACACTCAAATGGTCACCCAATGGTCACTGTGGTCACTCAGTGGTCACTCAGACACTCGGACACACAGACACACGGACAGACAGACAGATGGACACACAGACAGACACACGGACATTCGGTCACTCAGATGGTCACCCAATGGTCACTGTGGTCACTCATTGGTCACTCAGACTCACAGACACACAGGCACACGGACAGATGGACACTCGGACAGACACACAGACAGACACACGGACAGACGGACACTCGAATGGTCACTCAGTGGTCACTCAGACACACAGACACACAGACACTCAGACAGACAGACAGATGGACACACAGACAGATGGACACACAGACACACAGACAGATGGACACTCGGACACACAGATGGACACACAGACACGGACACACGGACACTCAATGGTCACCCATTGGTCACTCAGACACACAGACAGATGGACACACAAGACACTCGGACACTCGGACACACGGACACACAGATGGACACACAGACACGGACAGACGGACACTCAATGGTCACCCAATGGTCAGCGGTCTCTCAGACACACAGACACAGATGGACACACAGACACACAGACAGATGGTCACTCAATGGTCACTGTGGTCACTCAGACAGACACACGGACACACGGACACTCAGACAGACAGACAGACAAACAGACACACGGACGGACAGACGGACACTCAAATGGTCACTCAGTGGTCAGTGGTCACTCAGTGGTCACTCAGACAGACACACAGACACACGGACAGACAGACGGACAGACAGACGGATGGTCACTCGGACAGACACACAGACAGGACGGACACTCAATGGTCACTCACGGTCACTCGGTGGTCACTCAGACACACAGACAGACACACGGACACTCGGATGGACACACAGACACACGGACAGACGGACACTCGGACAGACGGACACTCGGACACTCAATGGTCACTCAATGGTCACTCAGTGGTCACTCAGACACACGGACAGACAGACACACAGACACACAGACAGACACACGGACGGACAGATGGACACCCAATGGTCACCCAATGGTCACTGTGGTCACTCACACACACACGGACAGACAGACACACAGATGGACACACGGACACACAGACAGATGATCACTCAATGGTCACTGTGGTCACTCATTGGTCACTCAGACACACGGACAGACAGGCACACGGACAGATGGACACTCGGACAGACACGCAGACAGACACACGGACAGACGGACACTCAATGGTCACTCAATGGTCACTGTGGTCACTCAGTGGTCACTCAGACACACAGACAGACACACGGATGGACACACGGACAGACAGACAGACGGTCACTCATTGGTCACCCAATGGTCACTCAGACACACAGATGGACACACGGACAGACAGACAGACAGATGGTCACTCAGCGGTCACTCCTTGGTCACTCAGACACACGGACACACAGATTGACACACGGACAGATGGACAATCAGACACACGGATGGTCACTCAATGGTCACTGTGGTCACTCGGACAGACACACGGACACACGGATGGACACACAGACGGACAGACAGACAGATGGTCACCCAATGGTCACTCAATGGTCAGTGGTCACTCAGACACACGGACAGATGGACAGATGGACACACGGACACACAGATGGACACACAGACAGA